AAAGTGCATAGGGACGCGCAGGGCCGTCCCGGCCGCGGCTGAAGGTACCTATGTCCTACCTCTGACCATTCTCGCCATGCCCGTTGCACTGCCGATAACGACCGCTCGAGACAACGCGCAATTTCACAGAACGATACACCCTCAATGTGCATACCCACAAACATTCCTCTCCCAAACTCGCTTAAGTAACGCGATCGCCCATCCATTGCGCACAGAGTAAGATAACAATGTGGTCCCTCACACTAAAAACGACCGGTATTTTCCATCCACTTCGGTCTCCATAGCGACGGAATGTTCCACTTGGAAGGGCGGCTCAGTCAACAATGCCGCGACGGAACANCTATCAAATTTCGATTGATTTAATATTTATATGATAATACGAAACACCAAGACTCAACGCACAGTTATTATAGTTTCTTCTATTTTGGTATTACAGTTCAGAGTCAATTCCCTTATTTTTTTTAATTATTTTAGTGTTCCCTTCTCATCCACAGTACCTTACTCTTCCACATTACCTTACTTGACTACCAACTAGTACAAAGTCTTCTCGTTAGGCATGCGAGTGGAGTTGAGAGCGATGACTTGTGTTTCCAAAATAGTGTACTTTAAAAATGAAAATAAAGGACTCCTTCAACATAACGTCACCTGAGAATTATTTTGAACCAAGTCAATTACGTCTGCAAAGCAGTAATTTAGATTTAAAAGTTAGCGGATCGTTTTTCTTTCGTGGTTGTAAGCATAGACTATGTCTAAATTTATGTTAGGATTAGTGGTACCAAGTCCTGTGTCACGTAGTTGCATGGTCTGATATCATTGGTACAATACTTGGTATAATGCAATTGCACACAGTAAGATTCTGTTTTGGACATGGTTCAAAATAGTTCTCAGGTGACCACATGCCTGTCTCACAGTACAGTCCCAAACATAGGACAAGAAGTTGAGGTCATCCTAATCTATCAAAAAGCAGACCCTTAAGACTAATAAGTCTTCTAAGTCAGTTATATAAAATCCTCACAAGAATACTGACGACTGAACTTGAAAACAAATTCGACCGAATATGTCTGCCAACCTTACCATTGACAAAAATAAATCATAACATCGGTCTTTTCTCATTTGCGAAATTATCCACAAAAAATTATCAATAAAAAACTGTACCTATAGAATAAAAATTTAAAGAAACCACTTTGCATTACTTTGTTGGTGTTAAAAAAATATTTATAAAAAATTCTTACCTGTATTATCAACAGTTTGAATTGGATATATTTGAGGTGAATATGTAGACATTTCATCATCTTCTGCAGGTTCACTTTCTTCAATTGGTTTCAAAGCCCGTTTCAACACACTTGAAGTCTTAGTAGGTTTCTTCTGCAGCAGAGAACTACCTTCACTTTTCTTAGATACTTCCGAATGTTTCGACGATTTCGATTCGGTAGGTTCTTGTTTTAATTGGGTACTAACAACCTCTTCTTCCTCGGCAACCTCAACTTCTGTCACTTCTTCAACTTTGAGTTTATCTCTGCATTCGGAACCCCCGTCAGCGGCGTCTGCATCGCTGATTTTCATATTTTTCATGTTGGTTAAGATCTGCATTAAATTGTCGACATCTTTGTTCCATAGCAAATTTGTTTCAGAAATTTCAATTCCGTTATCGAAATAATATTCCATGTCTCTTCTAACGTAAAGTTTTTCCTTGTAATAGAAGAACGGAAGGGTGTCGGATTCGTCTAAATCGCCTATAAGTGAAACTTCGTCGAGACATTTGTGATAATCTTTCGGTTCTAAATTGTCTTTTGGTGTTGGTTCTGTAGTTTTCGAATCGGATTTCCAAGAGAAAATTTTCTTGCATAGATGTTTCAACGGCTTTTTCTGACCTAATACCCAATTTTGTCTAGCTATTTCGTATAAAATCATTTTTTCAACGCTCAATAAAAATTCTGCTTGAGTCGGAACAGCTTTTAGAACGAAATTAATAAATTTCTGGAATTCTTTTAAAATTACTAATAAGCATTCTTCTCGTATATCTAATTGCCGTTGTTTACGTTCCTTATCTGCGGTTATTTGAGCGATAATTTCGTCTTTTTTAGTAATTTGGGTTTCTAATTCGCTTATTTTGGTTTTATAAATATAATCCATGGCACTTTTTTCAATCGTACATTTTTTACGTTCCATACACAAAACGTACATTAGATTCGCCAAATTTTTGCATTCCAAGCAATGTCTCAGTTGTTTTAAGGTTATTTCACAAAATTCTTGTTCGCGTTTTAAGGCGTAATTAAATTCTGTGTTTTGTTTTTCTAATTCCAAACGGAATTGTACCTCCAATTCTTTCTTTTCATTTTCAAGGTCTTCGGCAAATTGTTCGCTCATTTGTTCCACAACTTCATTAATTGCTTCTTCTATTCTCATTCTCCAGCTAAGATCACATTGTTCAACAGCTTGTCTAATCAATTCATCCTGCATTTCTAACATTTGTTGTTCTAAATTCTTCAATTCTTCAGCTAAACGTTTCTCAAACTCTTCCATTATATTCTGAATATAATTAGCACAAATTCGTTTCTCTTCTTCTCTGGCTAATTTAATGGCAACTTTTCTTTCCATTTCAGCTATTCTCATGAGTAATTCTCTTTGATCTTCCAAGGCTTTAGCTTTTTCGTTTTCCATTTGAAGCCAATATCTTCGATCAATATCTTCACCGATAACTTTAATTAAAAGAAAATAATTAGACTAAAAACCTTAAAAATTCAAATGAATGTATACTTAAAATCCCTTCATGAGTTAATGCTTTGATGTATTTATTTGTTAGCGGTGGTTTTAAACAGACTTTTGGAATTAATAAATCACTTGGTGATACCCAAAGTTCATCGCCGGCACCTTCTAATAATGGTAGCAATCCCACTTCAGGTTTCATAGGTTCCGGGCATTGTTGAAATAGGATTTTAGCCAAACCTTCGCCTAATTCACGTCTCGTTTCACCGATTCCAGGAACGTGGAGTTCTCTCATGTGTTTTTTACGATTGTAGTAGTTGTAACTTTTTTCTAATCTTACAAATTTTTCTTCTACCGGTTTTAGCTTAACCATTGTTAATTTTTAATAGTCCCCCCAACCAAAAAAGAAGAAATCTTTTTAAATGCTTTCAATTATCAATTTTGAAGATTCCAAATCGATCGGGTTAATCTACATATTTGACTTTGACATTTAAAATTTTTTTATTTTAATGTTTTTATTCACCGAATCAGCGACAGTCTATTATCTGGCATTCTACGGATGTGGTTGTGCCAAAATCTCTTGCGCTGACTTCCCCATCTGACCCCATTGGTTTCTTACCTCAGAGTTCTTAATTCTGGCCTTTCCTTAGATTTTCCTGAGGGCCTTTATCTCTAGTACATACTCTTAATTTGGATTATGTCTTCCCGTATTTTAATGCCATAAGTAAAGTTCCCAATACATAAAATTCCAACAGCTTGGTCATAAAGAAAACTTCAGCACCAAGGAAATAAAATATGTTAAGTGTGCTGGAAGGCACCAAACAAAGCAACGCAATAGCTTAGCAATATGGGCATTATGCAATGAAAAAGGATACACTACAAATTGCAAAGGTTGTGAAGTTTACAAGAGAAAGTTAAGAACAACGTTTACAGCAAAAAGTCAATAATGCTCCAATATCTGTAGATTCAGCTGCCACTGAAAATAGTAAGACACAAGAAGCTGGAAAAACCATCCACGTCTACTTATGTCATCATTATCATTAGTCATACAGTCCTATTACAGAGCCCTTCCTGTCATTTGCTTGTGTTGGCCAGTTTCGAATATTCATCTTCTTAGCGTTCTCCGTCACACCATCTCTCCACCGTAGTTTAGGTCTTCCTCTACTTCTAGTACCTATACGTTCTGTCGTAAATATCTTTTCTGCTTAGTTATCTTCACTACTTTTATTTCGTTTACCACATGACCTGCCCATCTTTATAGTTGTCACTATATCCCTATTTCCAGGTGATCCATAGGGATTATATAGCGCAAAGTTGTTCTTCATACTCCCTGTTCACAAATTCCCCGTATATTCAACGCAGTATCTTTCTTTTGAATGGGGCTAGCATAGATTCATCTTTTCTTGTAAGGTTCACGCTTCACGGTCTTATAAATACGGATCTTTGTGCTTTGGGAAATGTTATGGTTACTTTAGTCCTCCTTATTGATCTCGATATAATATCCATGTCATCAGCATACGCAAGAATCTGAGTGGATTTGTTGAGGATTGTACCTTCAGTGTCTAGTTCTGCATCTCTTGCGACCTTTTCCAATGCTATATGCTATCTTACGCCCACTTTTGTTTCAAATAAGTTACTTTCCCCATAGTCATCTGGGTTAGCACTATAAGTTTTTCAGGTATTTTTAACTTATTCATTGCTTGGTACAATTGAGATTGGAGAATGCTATCATATTATACAATATGATACTCTCTCTACTAAAAGCAGAAATCGGCAACTAGCTCATCTTCAATATAATAAAGATGGTTAACCAATTTCACACTGAAATGCGAGAAAATTTCAATCCATTAACAAACAATATGGAAAAAGCTGGAAAAACCAAAATCCCCCTGAATAAATCAAACAGAATAAAAAAATGTATAACATGGAACGCAAATAGACTAAAACAACATGCCCGAAAACTGGGTTATCTTGGAAGTTTTTCCAAACTAGACACACATTTCCAGAGAAGCACTTAGGCCTTGTACCAATACTTTTATTTACAGCGAAAGCAAAATCGTCTTTAAGAACATTTAAAAATGTTGAGCTCCACTCAGATAAAAAACAAAACTAGACACAAATGGAGTATTTGTAGAATAATTTTATCCCTGCAGTACGACATTTTTTGAAAAGCAAGAAGTGTTTCTTATTTTTGATCGCGTACATGCACATGAGCCAAAGGACAATTTAGTCGAAAAAATGAATTCTATGAGTCAACCTCTGAATCAAGCTGCTTGAAGAAACCAGTCCTTGACACTCTTGGAAACCAAAGATGACAAATGTGACATTCAAATATCGTAGTTGAATGATATTTATCATCTGAGGAAAAAATACGTAAGTTAGCAACTAAGTTCCCACCGATATTTTCAAAATTTTTAGTGTTCCGCATATTTTTGGCATAATCTTTAATCATTCGTAATTATTCGCATAATTATTCGAAAGACAAAGTTTTATTCTGCCGGAATCTATGTTTTTTCTTGTTCGAATTAATTTATGTTAACTTTCAGATCATTAAAATAGAATGCTGTTAATGGAGAAAATTGGAAATTTTGATCTGAAAGACGCACCACGTTCTGGTCGTGTGAAGTGTAAGAGAAAATGGAATGCTCTCACGCTGCTATACGGAAGCATCTTCTCTTTGGTAAAGTTTACGACAAAACTCAACGAGCCAAAACATCCGATTATTCTTGTCCCCGCTCAACTCATGGACACAACAATGATTTCCTTGCCGAATCGTTACTAGCAACGAAAAATTATGGCTCTACATTAATATGAAACAGCGTAAAGCATGGTAAACAATTAACGCGCGTGAAACAAAATCATAATCGGCTTAAAACGATGTTGTAAACAAGGGAGAATAGATTCTGCATTAATTAGTTGTTATTTTTATTGAAAAAAAAAAAAAACAGCGAAGACTCAGTTGCTAAGTCAATAGTTTAAAAAAATATATTCTCTCCAACTCAAGTCGATGGTATAATGCGGCGACGAAATTATGTAATACATTATGCAAGTAATACTAGGCCAAGCATCCTGATAACGGAAGACGAAAGCTTTTATCAAGAAGATTTGATAATGGTTTATTAAATGTTTTTCACAAGTTCGCAACTGATGGATTATTTTTTCAAAGAAATTCCTTCTATACATACATAATATATACAACCTTTATCCCACAATCAGTGTTACCGCACGCAAGAGAATAAATGTACCAAAGTTTGTAGAATAACCTAGAAGATCTGAAGCAAAAAAATAGAGAAGAAATTCAATTAATCAGCCCGGATATGATTTCAGCAATTTCAACATTTGAATTAATGATATTATTGTTTTCTCTACTTCATGTTATTTTTGTAAATTTAAAGTTAAAAAAAAAGTTTAATTTTTAATATCTTTGATGTAACACATAGAAAAATTTATATATATTATGTATATAGAAGGTCATCTCCCCACTATTTTTTGGTACAAGCGCTCCCAAGGGGATTGTGAGGGAACTAATTAGGTTAAAGCGCGAAATTTAAATATAGGTATTTCTATACTGATTTATACCATTACTTTATTTTGAAGAGGTCAAGCGCATTTTCCAAATAAATAGGAAAAATTATGAATTTAAAGTTTTTCCAAGATAATATTCATAATTTTTAAAGTATATTGCTCTCATTGGCTGAGAGCGCCAATTTATCTATCGGATAAACTTATCAAGAGGTGGTAAAAATGGCCCTAACTTATTTAAATACTTAACTAAAGGATATAAAACACTAAGCCAAAAGAACGTAAGGAAGAAAATTTGCTAATACAACGGGGTTATCACACTAAACGACAAAACAAAAATGTGACGTTTGCTTTCACCTTTGAGTTTGACGTTACACATAAATTTTTCTATGGTTTTAAGCACTTTGTTTGTGTAGATAATGCAGATTGCTGCAAATTCAGTCTACAACCTCATCCAGTGGATTGTGAGGGTACTAAATCTCGATTTACATTTTTATAGTAGTAAGATTGCACACCATGATGTAACAAGCTATTGCTACTTTTGTACCTCAAGTACAATCATAGATAAGATATAATATATTTGTTATATAGATGGGCAACTATAAACATTTGATTGAAATGCGCAATTAGTTTTGGATACTGTCACCTACAGCGCTGAAATCATTGGCAGGCGGGAAATATAAATTAAATTTGTTATTTGGAAGGTTTATCGATGATTTTTTACGAAAACATTGCTTGGAGACAAAACTTTACAAACTGTGCAAAACTTTAAACACATTAAATTTTGTCGTTTACAATGTTTTACAAAAAAACATCAAAAAAATATGACTAGGTATTAAATTATTATTTGGTACAGGGTTTATTAAAAAGTCTTTAAATGAATAACAAAGACTTTATTCTATAATTTTTTTATTATTATTTTTACCGCATCGTTTCCTTTTAATTTTATTGCATTTATCCAATGCTGCTTCCGCATCAATCGAAGTGTATTTATTATAAAGCAACAACAACAAATCGCTTTTTCTTCAAATCGCTAGCAACTCTTCCACTGTACACAATACAACGCAATAAAAATATTACTATGTCAAACCTGGTCAAACCAGTCAACCTGACAACTCAAAAAATTGCCAAAATGGGTTCTGTAATCGAAAGCAACGCCATAAGTGACAGTATCCAGAATTAAACGTATGTTCCCAATTTCATTAATACGAGTGACTGGTGCATGAGTACAATAGTAATAATAATTAATTTAAATAAATAATTCAATTCAAATTGAATTTTGACACTTGGAAATGTCAAATCAAAACAATTGATTGCCATAGTTACGCACTGCTACTGCTATTTTCTATATCAAATGAATGGGATATAATGAAACTTTAAATTAATTTTTTTCGAAAATTTCTTATGTAACCGATATTAATATTTTTATTGTACATAATTCAGAAAAAAATCGTCTTTCAAATTCCGATATAAAAAAATGGGATGTTAAAAAATGCCGAAAAAAATTTAAAATATACACTAAAAAATTTAAACCTTTAGGCCCGTTTCAGCGATTTTTTCATAAATTGTTTGTAATTTAATCAAATTTATCCGTTACTTTTGAAACACACTGTATAATAAATATTAAGAAACTCAAATTAGAGCATTGGGAAATACCAGACTTTTCACTATTCTATACACATATCAAGAATGTGTGGTTAGTTGGACCTGATAGATAAAACGAAAATGTAAGCTTCAAAGAAAAGTAAAATGCTCTAAATTATAAACAAACGAATGCACTTTTTAAAAGCCATTAATATAGTTAATGGGTATAAACTGTACATATCTGAGCAGCACCAGTTGCAACTATGAATTGGTGGTAGAGATGGTATCGACTAGTGATGCAAAGGATAGTGATTTTGCGAAAAGCCGGATACTGGTTATCCGGCGTATCCATCCGGCCATTATGGTTATCTTTTCTGGTGCATTTCTGAAGTGATACCCTACATTGCCACATTATTGCGATATTTGAATAAAAAAAATTTTTTTTTTTGGATCCAAGATACAAAATGAACTTTTTTGATGCTGATTTAACTCGCAAAGCAACTCTAAAAAGGGGATACTTTAATTAATAATTGGCGATATTTCCACAAGGATCCTTCAAGAAATGAATTTTATTACGAATTTTGAAAGTTATCGATGAAAATTGCAACATCGAAAATTTTATCAAAATTTCAAATATTGTTTTCTCAAAAACTAAATGGTATTTTTCAAAACGGGTTCGTTCATTGAAAAGAAGACACTTTTATTAACACTTTGGGAAATTTTCATACACATATTCCAAGAACTGGATTTTATAGGAATTTTTAAAACTTAATCGGCGAAAATTGCAGAATTCGAAAAAATTGTAGATTATTTCAAAAATTTATTTCTCAAGAACTAAAAGTGATTTTTCAAAACGGTTTTTTGCATTAAAAAGAGGATACTTTAATTAATAATTGGTGATATTTCCACAAGGATCCTTCATGAAACTAATTTTATAGCGAATTTTGAAAATTATCGATGATAATTGCAACATCGAAAATTTGATCAAAACTTCAAATATTGTTTTCTCAAAAACTAAAGGCTGTTTTTCAAAACGGGTTGGTTCATTGGAAAGAGGACACTCTTATTAACACGTTGGGAAATTTTCATACTCATATTCCAAGAAATGGATTTTATACGAATTTTTAAAACTTAATCGGCGAAAATTGCAAAATTCGAAAAAAATTGTCGTTCATTTCAAAAATTTATTTCTCAAGAACTGAAAGTGATTTTTCAAAACGGCTTGTTGCATTAAAAAGAGGATACTTTAATTAATAATTGGTGATATTTCCACAAGGATCCTTCAAGAAATTAATTTTATAGCGAATTTTGAAAATTATCGATGAAAATTGCAACATCGAAAATTTTATCAAAACTTCAAATATTGTTTTCTCAAAAACTAAATGCTATTTTTCAAAACGGGTTTGTCCATTGAAAAGAAGACGCTTTTATTAACACTTTGGGAAATTTTCATACTCATATTCCAAGAACTAGATTTTATACGAATTTTTAAAACTTAATCGGCAAAAATTGCAAGATTTGAAAAAATTGTGGATCATTTCAAAAATTTATTTCTCAAGAACTAAAAGTGATTTTTCAAAACGGCTTGTTGCATTAAAAAGAGGATACTTTAATTAATAATTGATGATATTTCCACAAGGGTTCTTCAAGAAATGAATTTTATAGCGAATTTTGAAAAATATCGATGAAAATTGCAACATCGAAAATTTTATCAAAACTTCAAATATTGTTTTCTCAAAAACTAAAAATTATATTTCAAAACGGGTTAGTTCATTGGTAAGAGGACACTTTTATTAACACTTTGGAAAATTTTCATACTCATATTCCAAGAAGTGGATTTTATACGAATTTTTAAAACTTAATCGGCGAAAATTGCAAAATTCTCGACAATTTCAAAAATTTTTTTCTCAAGATCTGAGAGTGATTTTTCAAAACGGCTTTTTGCATTAAAAAGAGGATACTTTAATTAATAATTGTTGATATTTCCACAACGATTCTTCAAGAAATTAATTTTATAGCGAATTTTGAAAATTATCGATGAAAATTGCAACATCGAAAATTTTATCAAAACTTCAAATATTGTTTTCTCAAAAACCAAAAGTAATTTTTCAAAACGTGTTGGTTCATTGGAAAGAGGACATTTTTAATAACATATTGGGACATTTTGATAGTCATATTCCATGAAATGGAAACGAATTTTTAAAACTTGTAAAATTCGAAAAAATTGTAGATCACTTCAAAAATTTATTTCTCAAGAACTAAAAGTGATTTTTCAAAACGGTTTTTTGCATTAAAAAGAAGATACTTTAATTAATAATCGAAACTGATAACAGCGACAGTTCTGTTAGTAATGAATGTGATGATGAATTATAAGCGAAGAGAAGAAATATATCGTATTGGGATTGTTACAATGAGGTTGCTAAAGACAAATCTGATACAAATAAAGTTGTATTCAATGAAAAAAGTCCTATTGGGGTTGAACTTGATTATTATCTGCAGTGTCCAAGACCTAAAAGAGATACTAATTCCTGTGAATGGTGGATATTTGGTAACTATCGGGTATCCGGCCGGATTTTAAAAAATTGCTGGATAGACCGGATAGTTGCCGGATATCCGTTCCACCACTAGTATCGACTCTAATGTCAACAATAGTACACTATTAAATTTAAAATTCTAGCGATGTTCAAAAATTTTAAAATTCAAAAGTGATCGTTTCAGTCGCTAAAAGAAAGTTTGAAAACCATATAAACGCACTGTACTTTCACCGGATCACATCGTTAAAAACGAATCTATATCGGACGATTTCAAATTAGGTATCTGAATGAATTAAAATAAAAGAAAGATTAAAAAAGCGATAGAAATAAAATTTATTATGTACAAAAATACTACATATATTACACGAAGAGGACACGATTGATACAAAAAGATGTGTGGCACTTAGCTTTTTACACGGGAAAGAATAAAAATAGAAATAATAAAAAAATATAAAAATCTACAAGAGGACTAGAAACTACTACATTGGTACAAAAATATTCTTTTTTTAAGATAATTTTTAAAGAGATAAAAATTAAAGCGAAAGGGGACTAAGAATAAAGGGTTCGATGAATTTTTATACTAAAATTGTATAAATAACATTTTTAATGTCGTCCAACTTGATCGATTTGCTGCTGTAAGTTGCTAACGACTTCAGGTGGAACTTGATCACCCAAAATCTCAAAGAGATTAATTTTTTGATTGACTGGAATGTTTTCATATGCTCCTATTTCAATTCCTTCTTGCACCTATTAAAAAATAAAATCCTCATTAATTTCAATCACGTTTAAAACTATTTGAATCTCAAAGCCCTTGTTTTGTATTATTCATGCATTTTTAACATTTCAATCACGATTAAAATGATTTATTAATAAACTATATCAGAAAGCAACGAATAAGAGCTTGTTATAGACTTTATTTTTTAAACTTACCTTTTGAATTTCGGCATCTTTTGGTATTAAAAATGTGTTTTGAGCTTGACGAATCGCTTCATTTGTATATGAACCGCCTTCTTTGGCTGGCATTGCCAAAGTAACAGTAAAAACGACAAATACGCACACGAAAACTTTCATTTTCCTTCTGCAATCTAAGAAAGAAAGTCAACCACTTTAATCGAAAGTTAAAACCGCTAAGACCAAGATTCTAGTAACGTGTTGTGCAACTCGTGAAGTACGATTCTTTTTTATATTTGAAAGTCAACATTTTTATATCATTTAATGAAATTATCTTCAATTAACACTTATGTATTATGAAAATGTATTGTAAATATTATGTAAGATAGATTTTTAGAAAATATTATTAAAAAGTGAAACTTACCTAATTTTAAATCAATCTTAAAAATACACTTGCGCTTCTGAGTAACGATTACTGTTGTAAATGAAGAGTGGGGCTTCTGAGTCGGTGTTTGGATTCTTATATAAGAGATGGGAAGCCCCTCTTATTTAAAACAATGTGAACCAACGAATTTTACACGATGAGTGCCCCACCATTGAAAAATTTCTCTGACCCAACGATGACCTTAATATGGTATTCTGAAGATATTGGAAACGGGAATCTAACTTGTTCACACGTTCTTCTATGTAACAACATCGAAAGAACCGTTTTAAACGCCGTTTTTTGAGGAAATAATTAAAAAAGTATGCTAATTAATTATGCTTTATTAAAAAATGCCTTTTTAAACTAGATTTATCATAATATTCCATTCCGCACTCATCACAAACAAACTCCTTAACGATTCCGTCTTTATGCGAATGTCTTTTAATGTGTTTATCGAGCGTCGACTTCAAAGAGAACGTCTGTTTACAAATAACACACTCAAAATTGTTTGGACGAAGATGAATTAATGTTTTATGTTGTTTTAAAGTGCTTGGATCGTTAAATTTTAAACCGCAATTTTCGCAAATATACCGCCTAGGTTCTGTATGTAATCGTCGATGTCGTATTAAAATAGTTCTTCTGCGAAATATTTTTGGACAAAATTCGCAGCTAAATTGCGGTTCTGAATGCGTTTCCATGTGAGCCTTTAAATACGAATTTTTATTTGAAATAAAGCCACAAATTTCACAAATATATTTCTGTTTTATTAATTTCTCATTTTTTAAATCAGTAATTTGCATAAATTGCGAATCTTTCTTTGGTTCACTTTCAAAATCAAATGTAACATTGACTGGCGCGCCATCTGTTGGATATTCTATTTTATTATTATTCTCTTCGAAAGTTATAGAGAAATTATAAAAATTTATTATAGTTTGAGTGCATTCAAGACAAATCTGTTGTGATAAGTTATCGTTTTTATTTAGCTAAAATGAATTGTATACGTTATTTCGAATTTTATTAATTACGAAAAAGAAACAAACATAACCTCACTTTTACTTACCTTTATTTTTAAGAAATTTTCTATGATTAAAGCTAAACTTATATTTTCTTCGATTACTTGGAATAAATCATGCATTTGGTCGCTTTCTGATAAACACGATCTACACTTTGCTGTATCCATTTTATTCACTTTACTTTTGAGAAGTTATTTCAGGTTATGTTCACTTTATAATTTGGATTGGAATGAAATAAAACCATAAATGATTGTATCTTTCTTTGTTAACAAATTATAAAATGTTTTAATAATCATGTTTTAACAAAATCAAATGTTTAATGTACCTAAGATTAAGACTACAGTAAATGAAATCCCATCGGGTTTTATTTATGAGATAGATCATTATTTAGAAATTTCGATAGCTTCTACAAACATAGGAACAATTCTTCATGAAAGTGCTACTAGTTTTCATTAAAAATTGTTAAAAGGCTAATGAATACTAATTATCTGTATACAGAGAAAGAAAGTGTTTCAACACTTTCAACCTTGAAAAAATTCAATGCCAACATTTTAATTGCAGTAGATGTGTCCTCTATTAAAAAATAAAACAAATTATCCGCTTAGCCAGTTGTAAATGAAAGAATAGCAAATCTTAATCTGAGGAATTACAAAATAATGGTCATTGGTATCTATTAGTGGTGGAACGGATATCCGGCAACTATCCAAAGTTTTCAAAAATATGCTTCCTATACATTCATCATGGGAAGACCATTGAGACGACATTCTGCCATAGTGCGTCTAGGCCAGTTTTTATTGTCCTCAAGCTGCTAAAAGATCGTTCAACAGTATATGTCGTGCAGGGTAAAGAGACCAAAATTATAAAGGCTTTTCTTGTTTCAGGGAAAAAAATTTCGGCATCTTTTATGACATCCACAACACTTAATTCTTTTGAGTCAGGTTTATCTTGCCATAGTTTTTTCCATAGTTCGATTTCGTTGTTGATATTTGATAAATTGTAAAATTGGGAAAAGACTTCACCAGCTTCTACGAGGTCTTCAAGGGACATGTCTAACATTTGAGCTGGGTGTAATTTAGATAAGGAAAATGACGGGGTGTTTTCTTCAGAAAAGCGAACTTCAAAAGAATTAATAATCGAGTCTAAGTATGGTATTGTTAAAGACCTCCGCCAGAATTCTGAGGGGCTTCCTGCTGGGTGGTTGTTCTGATGTTGTTGTCTCTCAACAATACGGGGCAAGGACTTCATGTCTTCTCCCAGTCCAAGTTTTTCTGCAACGATAGTAGCGTCCCTAATAATTCCATTTGTGACGTTTTCTGAACCGTTACGGTGGTTTTCTATAAATTCCAAAAGGCGGCTAATGTGCTGGGATGCCATAACTGCATTCAAAGGTCCGGATTGGAGCACGTTTACCGCAGGTTCCATCATAGCCGAGTATTTGGCTACGAAACTCTAGAAGCTGCTGCATGGAGCTGATAAGTATTTTTTCTAGTCGCATTATTTATTCTTATTTTCTTCCCGTGACGAGGTTTCAAAGGCCTCCATTATAATAGGAAAATTCTCATTAAAAACACTAATATTTTTGTATTTCTCGTTCCACCTGGTTTCGCAAAGCTTGGAAATATTTGGTATCAATTTGCGTCTCAAAACTGATTCTTGAAAAAATGTAAAAATATCTTTGATGATACCTTCCTTTGATGAAAGCACAAAGCTTTTTTATATTTTCTGCGTAGGATTGTTTGCACACCACTTTCTTTCCCGGACATCGTCGAACAACCGTCAAATCCTAAACCAACACATTTGTCCGGATCAAGATTTTCTTCTGCCGAAAACTCATCTATTGCTTTTGCAATACATTTCGCATCCATAGCATCAAGTTTGACGAATCCGAGGAATACTTCTTGAACTTCCTTGGTTTCCGGATCAAAATATGGCATCTCATTCGATAGTTGTTCAGTACTCGAGATGTATATTTATTGTGTTTTAATTTTTTTTCGAATCTACCTCTAGGGGGGGGGCAGTGGCCCCCCTCTGCCCTTCTCTGGCGACGCCCTTGCGGCCTATCCGGCCATTTTTTAATATCCGACTTTGGCCATATATTAAAAACCATTAGGGTAAATACTTAGGCGTATTTCGACCGCTTTCAGTAGTCGACCATCCGCAACTATAAGTTAAAAAAATAAAAGAGTAGTAAAATTTCCTCTCTTAAAAACTTGTGTCAATAATTAGTTACCAGTGTCTCTCACCCAAATTACAAGTAAATGAGTAAATAATGATGGTAGTTTTGCCCTGATTTATCATTTGAGAAAAGTGCACACTGAATTGAAGGTTTGAGCTAAGTAAACCTGGATTTTTACTAAGCATGACGTGTTTCATAAATAAGCATAGAAAAGCATTGTAATCGTGTTTTATTAGTATCTGGACATAGACACAATTTTAAATAGAACAGTTTTACTATTTCTTTAAATAAAGTTGTTACAATGGACGACTACTGGAGTGTTAGTGTACGAAACGTTTTCCAGTCGTCGACCGCTTTTTAAAATACGTAAAAATTGCTTAAAACAGAACTATTCAAAATCATAAACAGGTCTAAGAAGATGGTTCTCTCTAGTCAAATCTAGTCGATTCAAAGTAGTCGAAACCAAAAATAGAGTGATCCAAGAGTGATAATCAGAACCATGTTTAACAGATGCAATTCATAATGGTATGGGAATAAGAGAAGCTTCTCGAAATTTTCAGATTCCCAAAACTAGCCTGATAGACTGGCTTAAAGGCAGAATAAAAATGATTCCTTTGAGTATGGGGGTATCTCAGTCAAGAAGAGGAAAAAAATTATCTTTGGAGCTAAAGCATTTATCTATGACAGGATTCCCCTTGAAGACGGAAGAATTGTTCAAATCGATTCAACACATTGCAAACACATACAAAAGACGAACACAATTCAAAGACGGCATATCTGGGAACAAGTGGTTTAAGGTATTTTGTAGACGACAAAATATTATCTGTCGGGAGCCCGAAGCTCTGTCATAATCACGCGCAATAATTACAGAGGAAGCAATACAAAAATGGTCCAGAGAACTGGACCACTTACGTTCATCTACTTTGCCAGAAAGTATTAGAAATTGCTTTAAACGATGTGGTCTTTTTCCACCAGACCCGAGAGATTGGCGTTGATTTTACAAAATGCGTTCAGAATCCATTAGAAAACACAACATTGAGAGCTATCGGTTCAATTACCATGGAAGATGTAAATACGACAAAAAAAGATATGTCTCATTTTAAAGAGAGAGATTGAAACCAAAAAATATCGATGCAGATAAAATTAGTACTGTCTTAGATTATTTGTGAGAATCACAAATTCCTAGGACCTCAAATCTAGTGACAGTGGAAACATATGGTATTCAGGCTGATGAAGCATTAGCAATAATATTCATAGGACTTAGTTACGAGGAAGAAGAGTTTAGGAATTATAAGTGTTGCTCTGCTCCTAATTTTGCCATAAGTATGCAATTAATTTCTTCAGTAGTGGGTAAAGATTCCATTACTTTGTACATTTTTTAACTTGATTTGTTATGTTTATAATTTTTGATTTAATAAATGTGCATATGTTCTTGTCAAGACCAAATAAAAAATTAAAACATGATTTTTATAAATAAATTTACTGAAAAAATATTACGAGTTATATAAAATAAGCTGACTGCAGACTGAAGAAATGTCGGTCGACCACTGGACTTATACTGGTCGACTACTGGCACATAAGGTCCTTTTGAACCTTTTTTAGACTAATTCTAGTTTATTTTTTCCTAGCATGAATCGGTTGTAGATTTCCAAAAGGAAATGTTCTACCTATCTTAATTTAAAAAGATGAGTTTATTGTGCCTTTAGGTTTATTTTACTGGAGTATTTCCCCTACTTAGTACTCCACCATTCACAGGAATTACTATCTCTTTTAGGTTTTGGACTCTGCAGATAATAATCAAGTCCAACCCCAATAGGACTTTTTCAATGAATACAACCTCATTGTAACAATCCCAATACGATATATAAAATCTCTTGTTGCAGTTTCGTCTAGTTTTCTTCTCTTCGCTTGTTGTTCATCATCACATTCATTACTAACAGAACTGTCGCTGTTATCACTTTTGATTATTAATTATAGTATCCTCTTTTTAATGCAAAAAGCCGTTTTGAAAAATCACTTTCAGTTCTTGAGAAATAAATTTTTGAAATAATCGACAATTTTTTCGAATTTTGAATTTTTCGCAGATTAAGTTTTAAAAATTCGTATAAAATCCAATTCTTGGAATATGAGTATGAAAATATCCCAAAGTGTTAATAAAAGTGTCCTCTTTCCAATGAAGTAACACATTTTGAAAAATTACTTGTAATTTTTGAGAAAACTACTCTTTGGAGTTCGTTGGAAGGGTTGAAAAGTGGGTTGTGAAGGTGTCTAATGCGAGTGCTGATTCTCAGGGTTGCTCTCTCTGCTACCTCCAGATGGTACTGTGATCCTCTTGGCGCTTCAGTCATGATTAATGAGGCATATTGGAAAATAGGTCGGCATATTGAAGTGTATATGTGAGTAGCGCATTTGGTGGATATTCCTCGGCCTCTATAGGACAGTGAGCGGAAGTGTTTGGCGCGGTTTTTGACCTTCATTTTTACTTTAATGGCGTGGGCAGAGAATTTAAGGGTTCTATCCAAGGTAATGCCGAGGTAACTGCAAGTTGGTGAAGCTGTGATAGGAGAAGATTGAATTGTTATTTTAGGAGGAGCAACGCGAGCAGGGAGGAAGGGGATGAAAAATTAGGTTTTGGAAGGATTTATTAGGATACGCCATTTTCGGTACCATTCTTCTATGTTTTGAATAAGCGTCTGCAGCCTTAGGACTGATGATGGAATGTCCACATCATGTGCGACGAGACTAGTATCGTCGGCATAAAGTCTTCCGAACATCCAGGAACACTACGGCGGATTGTTGTTTTTAGTAACGTCCGACTTGGAAATTTGAGACAAGCACTGCCAAGGGAGATCCTCCTTGCAATAACATCGAACAGCTTGTTCTTCAAGTGTACCTCGAAAAGCTTCCCTATTACGGGTAGCAATGAGATAGGACGGTAGTTCGCAGGGTCGGATAGAGAAGAATCTTTCTTGGGGATAATGATGATAGAGGTCTTCCAATCTTGTGGGAAATGCTGGGTGGTAAGGCAATAGTTGTATATTTTTCTTATGTAGCC